CCTTGTTTCTCCTGCTTTATCTTGCTTTTTTTGTGTGGACTGTGATGCTCTGTTGTCTCTGAGGCATTGTAATGTTTTTGTGTTTATATTTAATTGGTGATTGTATGTTGGAGTGACTTGCCCACTCTTTTCGTTTTCTTTGTTTTGTTTGTACGTTATGTAAGCAAGCAGAGTACTGTGCTCCTGTATTCACTAGTTGACAGCACTTATACACTCACCACCTGTCTTCTTTCCTATTGTCAACCTCTGGTATGTCCCTGCCAACCTTAGCAAACAGACAGAGCCTATACTTAGGTCCCTGGGATCTGAATGAAAATGCTGTCACTTTAAAATCCAAAATGTTTGCCACTTGTAAAGATCCAAAATGGCCACTGCTTGTAAACATTCAAAATGGCTGCAACCTCGGTCACTTTAAATATCCAAATGGCCACTGCTTGTAAACATTCAAAATGGCTGCGCCCTCCAGACAGCGGAAAGTTAACAGCTCAGGTTGTCTCCCTCCTTGCTGTTTCCCTTCCTTGTCATAGGCCACCAGTGCAGTCATCCCTGCAGCCCTTGGTGACCGGGGTTGATCTTTAGGTCAGTTCTCAGGTCCCAGCACCACTTGGAAATATTCAGGCTGTTGGTCCCACCAGAGTAGCTGACAGTATGCAGTGCCGACCATCTCTGTACTCACTGTTTTCATTCAGGTTTTTCCGTTAGTTGGTGCTTAATTCACTTCTGTATAGTTCCTTTCATAGCTCAGGGCTCCAGAATTATCTCTGTATCTCTGTCAATTGGTTTTTCTTTTCTTTGTCAAAGAGGGTCTGTGTCACTTGTCCGCCTGTTCCTCCATCTTACCAGAAGTCCCCTCCATTTCTTCTTTTAGATCCGCTCAGCTTATTTTGAATTAGTGTCTGCTTTGTGCCAGCGTATTCCACAGTTGATGAAAGATGAAGCATCCAAAGTCAGTCCATCTGTTCTACTTAGCATTGATGATAGTGACCCTGTTGTTTGCCCGGCTCTCTGGGAAGCTGTACTTTATACACTTACAACTATTGAGGTATGTAAGAGAGGTACATTTAATACATTTGGAATACTTGTTTTCTTAGTTACATTTTAGAAGCTCTGGATATTATATAAGAGAGGGCTTATCAGAGTGTAAGATCTAATATTTACTAGAAAAATGCTTTCTTAGAAATAAAATACTAAATTTAAAACTTGTTGTAAGTCTTAAACTGAGTATAAAATGGCATAAGGTTTTCATTTTTTATTTTTTGGCCCAATGCAATTAGCATATTGAAATCTTGCATTTAAGATTAAATACTGCTTTTAGAAAGCAGATGTTATAGGAATCTCTTAAATCAAATAATGATTTCTGATCAATATTTTCCCAGAAGTGTGTGGAATGCATGCATACTATATTAAATATATTTCTTATAATTTAAGAGTTTTAGTTTTTAATGATACTGAAATTACAGACTCTTACGATAAAATAATTGATTTTTATCTTTGAGAGTCCATATGTTTTTCTCTTAATGGGAAAAACATGCTTTATGTTTTGTTACTACTTTTAAACTCTTTTCTTTGGCTAGGACTGTTGGATTCATGTAAATGCAAAAAAAAGTGTGTTTCCCAAGCTGTCAGCTGTGGTTCGTGAAGGTGGTCGGGGCCTGGCTACTGTTATATGTCCTTATCTTCTTCCATTTATTAGCAAACTCCCTCAGTCGATTACAGATCCAAAGTTGGATTTCTTCAAAAATTTCCTCACTTCTCTAGTTTCAGGGTAAGAAATTTAAATTTTTGATTTTTAAAGCAAAAGAGATTTTCTTGTTGCCATAAATAGTAAGATGGCATACTAATCTTAATCTTTCTTATTTATATTTCCCCAAATTGTTTTGCTATTCATTAAACACTTTAAATACTTCAGACATTTACAATTTTATTTCTTTCATTGGACCAGGGCTTCAGTGGTAGTACCAGCAGAAAGTTAAAGATGGTAACATTCTTAGGTGAAAATAGGCTACTTTTCACATGAATGATATTTTTGCATTTTGATTCAGACAAATGCCCAAATACAGAAGATGGACCAGTGCAGTTATAACTTCCATGAGGTTAAATATGATAATTATTCAAATTCACACATAAAAAATTATTTAGATGCATTTTATTAAGCTTATAAAAGGTACACAGTTTTATTGATTAAAAAATTTTTTTTTCTACTATATATCTTTATTTGGTTAAATTCTGTGTTCTAAGTTGGCACATTGATGAATAGGAAATATCTTTTTTGCTTTCCCAAAACATTTTTGAAAATAAGATTTTTTCACAGTTCATCAAGTTTGTGTTCCAGTCAGAATATGTTGGTTGTTACTAGTTTTTAGTTGGAAAGTTTTATTAAACATATTGTTTAAACATACTGTGTTTTAGTAATGACTTTCCAGTGACTTATTTTCATGTTTTGAGCTGCTTATTTTTTTCGTGGACGCATAAGCTGCAGTTGTCTATTATGTTTTAGGCTTTCAACAGAGAGAATCAAAACCAGTTTCTCGGAGTGTTCAGCTGTAGCAACTGCTTTTTTTGAGTGCTTACGCTTTATAATGCAGCAATACCTAGGTGAGGAAGAGATGGAAAAGATGCTCGTCAATGATCAGGTATTTATAATGTAAAAATGACCAGTGCCTTTGTATACTAACTAAAAAATCAAGCTCATTGTGCCTTGTTGACATGTTTGTTAATTAGTATACTTTGTAAACGTTTCACATTTATAATTTAAAAATTGAGTAATATGTACTTTTGGCCATATATATTAAAATTCTATATAATCAGTTGCTAGCATAATAAAGTACCTGAGGACTAATCAGTCTTTGGTTGTAAAATCCCTGGTTATTTTAGAGCTGTGCAGTGCAAAAGCACAATTTATAAGATGTTATTTGCCAGCTTTTTAAAATTTAAAGTATGCAGTAAACATCTTATTCTAAAATACTCAAGGACAATAATCCTTTTGTAAATAATTGGCTTTGACTTTTAGAACCAATGATGAGAATACATTCTGGAATATGGTTCATTATAGTAAGACATTAATTGATGAGATTACAGAAGCCCAGGTCCTAGTTGATGCCTTAGATTATTAACATTTCTTAGATTTGTAATTTAAGAAAAAGGACTCCATCTATGAGCCTGAGTTGTTATTCATAGTGGCTTAAATCATATCTTAGATTTCCCCTGGGTGATGCAGATAGTTAAAGCTCATGACTACTAATTGAGAGTTTGGAGATTCTAGTCCACCTTGGAAGAAAGGCCTGGTGATCCAATTCCAAAACATCAGTCATTGAAAACACTAGGGAGCATGGTTCTACACTGATGCACATGGGGTTGCCACGTGTCATAGTTGCCTTGACAGTAAGTGGTATCAGGCAAAAAAGCAAAAAGCTTGATTAAGCTCAGAAGATGCAAAGAATATTGGATTATTCATTAAAGAGTAAGAAGCTTGGTCAATTATATCATTAAAAGAAGTAATTCGGGTAGAACCAAACCAAACTTACTGCCCTCAAGTCAGACCCAACTCATAGCGACCGCTCCTTGGGTTTTTGAGGCAGTATCTCTACGGAAGTAGATTGCCCAACCTTCCTTCTGAGGAGTGGCTGATGGGTTTGAACTGCTGGCCTTCTGGTTAGCAGTCAAATGCCTTAGGCACTACGCCACTAGAGCTCCCAATTCAGGTAGAATGCAGTAAAATTATTAAGCTTTTTATATGATATGTAAATAATTTTCATGTTAACTTTTGAGGAGGAGGAAAATACATATTTTTTAATAATTAAATAATAGGAAATTTCAGTGCCTTATAAATATCTTGTTTAAATTTTTATTTTTCTCTAAAACAATTTTGTAATGTATCTTTTTCAGTTGATCCCTTTTATTGATGCAGTTCTCAAAGAGCCGAGATTGCAAAATGGCCAACTATTTGACCATTTAGCAGAAACTTTAAGTTCCTGGGAAACCAAGGCAGACATGGAAAGAGATGAGGAAACAGCTCACAACTTGGAGAAAGTATTGTTGAATTTCTGGCAAAGCCTGTCAGAGATCTGTGTTGAGAAAATTAATGAGCCAGAGGCTGATGATAAGTCTGTTGTGGGTGTATCTAGCCTGTTACAGGTTCTTCACAAGCCAAAGAGTGCATTGAAGACAAATAAAAAAAAAGTTGGTAAAGTTAGATTTGCTGATGAGATACCTGAAAACAAAGAGAACGAAAAAGTTGTATCTTCAGAAGGAGAGAACAGTGAAGGCTCTGAATCAGTGACTGAACCTCTCACTCATAATCCTTCAGAGCTTGTATCTAGTCTAAGGGAAAAACCTTTGGAAGACTTAGTCTGTAAACTAGCAGAGATGAGTATTAATTATGTCAATCAACAAATGTCAGAGCAACATCTAAGGTTTCTTTCCACTCTGCTTAACACCTTCTCATCAAGCCAGGTGTTTAAAGTGCTACTAGGTGACAAAAAACAGAATATTGTCAAAGGCAAATCTATTGAAATAGCTAAGCTTGCACAAAAAAATCCTGCGGTGCAGTTTTTATATCAGAAACTAATTGGTTGGCTAAATGAAGATCAAAGGAAGGATGCTGGTTTTCTGATAGACATTTTATACAGTGCTCTCCATTGCTGTGACAGCAATACAGAAAGAAAGGATATCTTGAATGATTTAACACAGGTAATACTGTTATATATCATTTTAAACTAGAATGATTTACACTAGCACAACTATTTTAAGAATAGATGAGTAGAATGAGATTTTTATAGGCATCATTTTTTTTTTTTTTAATTGTGTTTTGGGTGCTGATTTACATAGTAAACTTGTTTCACATTCAACAGTTAACGCACATCTGATTTCACAGCCCTGATTACCATCCCCAACTGTAAAAAACTCTCCTCTTCACTTCCCCCTGTGACCGACCACCCCCTCCTTGTGCCCTTCTCATTCATGCATTCCTGTCTGTCCAGCTTTCCCTCTATGTGAGTGCTACCCCACTGATTTCTCATGGCTGATCGATCCAAGGGGTGCATCTCCCTAGAGCTGGTGGGTGTGTCAACCTGGGGTAGGTGTTCTGTATGTGGGTCTTTCTACTTTTGGGCTGAGAGCCAATCCATGTAAGTGAGTCCATTTCTAGGCCCAAGGGTAACCTGGGGCTATAGTCTCAGGGTTTCTACCAGTCTCTCTCTGACTGACAATTTTGGTCATTTTTGCATTTTTTAATTTTGTTCCACATTTGTCTTCCCACTCTATCCAGGATCTCCAGATTTGATCCCTTTCTGAGCAATTTGGCATTGGTAGCCAGTTCTGGTCTAAGGTCATGGAGGCCCGAGGTTGGGTTGTGGGTTGTTTCTTGATTAAAAATGTCAGTTTAAAGATAAGCAGTGTATTCTTCTCATTGGGGAAGTGTATGAAATTTCTCGATAAGTGTTGAGTAAATGTGTTAAAATGACAAAAGCTTGGTAATAGAAGTGTGAGTACT